TTTCTTCTTTCTTTCCTTCCTTCCTTCCTTCCTTCCTTCTTCCTTCCTTCCTTCCTTTCTTTTTCTTTCTCGCTCTCTCTCTCCTTCCTTCCTTCTTTTCTTCCTTTTTTTTCTGAGTGCAGTCACCCACTTTGTCACCCTAGTTGGAGTCCAGTAACACAATCATGCTTTACCACAACCCTATCTTGACTCCCTGGGTTCAGGCTGTTCTTCCACCTCAGTCTCCTGAGTAGTTGGGACTACAGACACATGCCATCATACCCAGATAAAAAATTTTCTTTTTTAGAGACAAGATCTTGCTATGTTGTTGACCTGGAACTCCTGGGCCTGAGCAATCCTCCCACCTTAGCCTCCTAAAGTGCTGGAATTACAGGCATGAGCCACCATGCCCGGTCCTTTTAACTTCTTTCTGTGAACTTAATGTTACTTTTATTTATTGTGGTTTTGTAGAGACAAGATATCTGTTTGTCACAGAATTCACAGAATTGTTATCAATTTTCATTATTAAAATCAATATGTCTAATTGAGGAGAATGATAATTTGTGTGTTAATGTAAAATTTAACTTGTACTAGCATCATTCTCACTTACACAGTTATTAAAAAGAGATCTTATTCAGGATTTTAAAGACTAAGTATTCAATACTTTGAAACTCCGTTACATGATATGATTAAACATTCATTGTCTTGAGTACTTTTGATCATAAGCTTATATATAATAGAGACGAGTGCACTTTTTTGCCTTATGTCATTACAATAAGCTTTATGTATACCCTTCCTAAGTTAAATTTTGAATCAAATTAAATTAACTGTATATCAGGCTCCCTCTATTTTACAGTCTCAAAATTGAATTGAGACTATGATGAGATGTGTATTTATTTTAAAAGTAAAGAACTTCACTTATTTCATATATCAAGCCATAATTTCTACTAAGGTTTAGAGTTTAGGAAGACAGTTCTTTTAAATGTACTTAATTAATCTTTTATTTCTAGTAACCAATAACGTTTACCAAGTATTTACAGCTGCATGGCAACACTTTCATTGCTACATGGAGGACACTCATAATCTACTGAAAATAGAATTTGTATTTTATTCTCATATATTTTGGAATGTGATTGATTTTGACTTTGTGTCTTTTGAACAAATGCTTTTGGATAAGCGGTCAACTTAGTGTTGTGGTAACATATTGATTTACTAACATCCTTAACTAACCAGAATTTCTTTTGGGACTGTGTTTAGTTTGCAAGAGAAAGGGACAAATGACAAATCAAAAACAGTATCACTTTTCTTTCTTTAATTTCCAGGGAATGATCAAGGTCACATAGATTTAGCCTAATCTCTTACCTTTCTGCATTTGCAGTGTCACATAATGATAACTGCTCTTAAAAGGACGACCCAATTCTAACCTCTTCCACAAGAGTTATTACAACACCCTATGTCAAAGAAAGATTTTGTTATTCCAGCAATTGGTCTTCAGAGTTAATGAATATGTCAGTAGAGATTAATCATTTGGTTTTTTTTTTCCCCCTGCAAAAGAGATGTTATAACTTAGGGTCACCAGCTGGCACACCTACACTGAGTGCCTTGGTTTCTTTCAAAGGTGTGGGTAAGGTTTAGGGAAACCAAGAGGGGTAATTCATGGTCCTTGCCCTTTAACTGTGGACGGTGGAAGAATACGGCTACCATCCCCGGGCCTAAAGAATTAAGGGAAGGACAGTTAAACAAAGAGATGGTGCCTCCATTTCCCAAGCCTATCTGGAAGCCATGGTAATCCTTAAGATCAGCTTCCCAAGGTTCAGAAAGTAGAGGGTGGAGAAAGGGGCAGAACCAATCTGGAGGGAAAACAGAGGGACTGTAGCAAAGAGGAGAGGAGGTGAAAAGTCAATAAAATCAATACTGCAGCTCTGGGCTTTGACCAAAGAAAGTAGTAACTGGAATAGCATATTGAGTGCTGTTCCAGTTACTACTGCTACATAACCAACCATGCTAAACTTAGTATACTAAAACAATCATCCCTTTATTATGCTCACAGATTCTGTAGTTTAGAAATGTAAATCAGGGCTGTGGGGCTGCTGTGTCTCTGCTCCACTATTTTTGGCACCTAGGCTAGGAAGACTCAAATGCCCAAGGGCTGAAACCATTTGTGTACACCTGTATACACATGATTGGCACCTGGGCTGGGGGTCCAAAGACTGGGCTCATCTGGAGCTGTTGGATCAAGCATCTACACATAGCCTCTCCAAGGGCATGAACTTCTTACACCTATGCCCTTGTGTTCTGAGAGTAGATGGTCTTTTCCGAGCTATCCTCTAAAGTCACACAGCATCACTTCTTCTGCATTTAGTCCAAGGCTGGAGGAATTAGATTTCGTGTCTCAATGGAAGGATGACAAGGTCACATTGTAGAAGAGCATACTGAATGGGAGAATATTGTTGCAGCCATCTTTGGAAAATATAAGTTGCCATGAGCACAGTCATTAAGGCAATATGAATGAATATAATTTTGAAATGCTCTGACAACAGTTACAACAATTTTCTAGGTTAACCATAAAATTTTATTAATCAGAATCCTCTTATCTAAGGTTTCAAATAATTGAACTTTTGTCTTCATAGATTATATAATTTTTTTTTCCAGAGACAGGATCTCACTATGTTGCCCAGGCTGGTCTTAAACTCCTGGCCTGAAGCGATCCTGTGGCCTCAGCCTCCCAAAGTGCTGGGATTATAGGTGTGAGCCACCATACCCAGCAGATTATAGAATTTAAAATGTAGGAGACACTTCCAAAGATCAACCAGCTGAGCTTTCTACCTCAAACAGTCTGAATATCATTGCTCTCATTTCCCTGAAAAATAAGCCAAGGGATGTGTAAAAGGGAAAGTAGGACCATTGAAGATGTATTTGTTTTATTTATTTAACCAGAAATTGATAAGGAATGAAATTATAAATTAAATTTTAGCAAATTAACATACAAGCATCAAACTTGAGAAAGCACTTGGCCAGTTTTGCTTTCCTATTATATCAGAGAAGTATGCCTACTGGGTTGAGTTCCCCTCATTGAAAATTTGGGTTTAACTTAGTATATGTCATAGACAAGAGCTGTCATATACAAGAAACGCAATGGCTGGGAGGATAGAAGATTAACGGTCATGTCAGTGGAGAAACTGACACATGGTTATCAACTTTCCCTTTTGCACTTGATGATATCTTCCTGGCCGGTCTATCTATTCATCTCACTGCTGGTCTAGTGGATTGACCCATGCAATGTTATTAACTTTCTGAGGGGGGATTTTCTGTAAGGTTTTGTGCTCTTCTGGACACAGGAGCACTGAACACACTTATCTTTGCTGTTCACATACAGAAACAAGCTTTTTGGGAATGTTTCCAATCTGATCAAGTCACCTTACAGTTTTTTTTTATATTTTGACATCAAGGACCCAAGCTTTAATGAAACTTCTAAGCAGCTAAATTTTTTCTTTCTCCTCATCGACAATGGCAGGTACCTGACAGCTTCTCTGACATCAACTATTCCAGTCACTATTCTACTGATGTTTTCTGTTAGTTGAGAAAGCCTGAGTGATAGAAAGTTTTCTTGTCCTTTTCAAAGGAGAAAAAAATCCTCAAAAAGAACCATTGTTGGTTCGTTTACAAGGATTTACTTACTATTTTGCAACTCCCTCTGTTCACTTTTTAAGTGATGAAATGCCACCTGGTATCTGGGTCTGTAAGCTTGCTTAGGGAATTTGGCTGGGGTGATTCCATGCTGAGGCAGTGTAAGTGATGGGTGGTAGACAGCTGCTGTCAATTCTGCCAGCTGTGTGGCCGCGGGAAAGCCCCTCGGTGTTCTTGGTGGTAAAGTGAGGAGGTAGCTAGCTCACTGTATTGCTCAGGGCCTTTCCAGTTTCTGCAGTTCTGTACACCGGTGAGCCCACTCAAGGCCTGGATGTCCTGAGAGCTCAGGGTGCCAGACTTTGTACAAGTTTGCTGCTCTATCCCATAGGGGTCTTTGTCTTCAGTGTTGTCTGCTAGCATTCCACATTCAATATGGAAACACTGGCTCTTTTGCAAGAGATGTCTACTGGCTCCCTCGCTGCCCCTTTACTTCTCAATCCATACATTCTGACCAATGCTCTAAATTCTCTTGCTTATGATGTCTTAGTTAGCAAAACCAGTGATCTTTTTTCTTTTTTTGACCTATATAACTTCACGGTGCCTCAGTTCCTCTGTCTGTCGAGTAATGATAATGATTGTATTAATCTCATCGGGTCATTGTGAGGTTTTGGCTATTATACATAATAATGCATAATAGATAACACACTGTGTATATAAATACAGAGAGAGCAAGAGCAAACGAGAGAGAGAGAGAGAGAGAGAGAGAGAGAAAGAAAGAAAGCTAGCTTAGGACATTTCCTGAGACAAGGCTTTGCTTGCCTATAGACCCATGTGTGTCCCTTACTTACATTATTTACCCAGTCTCTGAAGGTAGCAGGGTTATCAATGTTTGCTATCAAAACCCTGTACTTTAAAAAACTAACATCTCAAACTTTATAACATTATTTTTAATTTTACTCCTGTCTTTCAGAGTTGACTTAGCCTCAACTAATAAAGGTCTCTGTCTTCTTTATTATTTTATTAATCGAATAATGTAGCAATTGTCTTATAATATCTGATTATATCTACTTTTATAGTTTAATTCGCACTTTTTTTTCTATTTGGCACGTGTGTGCTAGTCCTGTCTCCACACCTGGATCGTAATCTGTGCAACAGCTTACACGATCTGCCTGTATGATCTGCAGTCCTTCCTAAGCAAGCTGTCACCCCTGCCAGCTACAGCATGAGGGTGATTAGCAAGAGGTCCTCATTCTCCCTCCCTACTTTAAAAACCAAGCAACTTTTGAACCACTTTGCCATCACCTATAATCATGATTGGTTGACATAATCACCACCTGACCATGAGCATGTGGGCTCAGGATTCAATATGTGTGAATCTTTCTGTCTGACCCCAGGTATCCGCCGCCAGACTGCCCATTGCATAAAGAAGGGTCGTGGGATGGTGAAAGCTACATTCTGTAACCCAGAAACACAGCCCAATGGGAGACAGAAGAAGTGCTATGAAAAGGCTTGTCCACCCAGGTAACCACTGCTCACAGCTGGAGCTCTGTGTGTCTGCCTACAGTGATGTCTGATTCAGGAGTAACCTGATGCTTGCTGCTATGGAGGACTGTGTGGCTTTAGTATTGGAATAAATACAGGAAAGCAGTTAGAGGTTTCTATAGCTATGCCAGTGGAGCCCGTAGCAAGCTGCGAGGACATTTTCTCCTGAGAGCAGTATTTTCTTTTTTCAAAGAGACATGTTCTGTGTTCAATTGTTTGATAAGACTAAGTCCTAACGCATTGTTGAAGAGAATGCTATGTAGATAACTCAAAAGTTGCTTAACTGATGGGTTTCGCTTTTCCAAGGGCACTTTGCCAACGCAGCTATAACATGCAGACAATACGTGGGCACCTTTAGACCACAGTGCTGCCCGGAAGAGTGGACTTACAGAGATAGCTTTCCTAACCTGGACATTATAGGATGCTAAGCAGCATCACTGGCCTGTATTTACTTAAATGCTGGTAGTACCAACCTCCAATCCAAGTTGTTATAATAAAAAATATCTGCAAGACCTTGTTACATATTCTCTAGAGGGCAAAGTCACCCTCAGTTGAGAGCCACTGCTGTAGAGCTATTCATTGACTAAGCATATTGGTTCAAGATATTGGGATCCTAGAGGCAGCTGGGATGTTATTATGATGGGGTTATGTTAATAAAGGGTGGGAGGGAGGGAAAAGAGGAGGAACAAGGAAGGAAGGGAAGGAGAGAGGGAGGAAAAGAAGAAGGAAGGAAGGAAGGAAGGAAGGAAGGAAGGAAGGAAGGAAGGAAGGGGGCTGGTTATTTCTGGAGAGTGTTTTCATTCTCTAGTGACCTTAAACATGGATATATTTATGCTACAGATTCTGTCAGGCATTCATTCCAGTTCTAAGCAGATACCCTAAGAGGATTTTAGTTAAACAATAGGGGACTAGTTGGTATCATAATTCAAACAGGTGACAGGTTGAATTCTAAAAAGAGCTAGAATGTGATGAATGCCAAAGAACTAAGTTAGAAAGAAAAGTCAGGACAATTTGGTGAAGGAAAGCGATCTCAATCTTTTAAATGTTCAAACAGGCAAGACCCAGAGGCCAGCACATTCTCATTTCAGAGTCACAGGTTTATTCTCTGTCCAGTTCTATGGTTTCTTCTAGGTAAAAGGCAGGCTGTGAAATCCAAAGCTTGACTCCCACCTCTATTGAGGCAGGACGGAAATGCTGCAATCCCCTTACCTTACTGAGACTTTTTCCTGTGACTCTGTTGCCGGGACCAACTAGGAACATCAAGGGAAGATTAGGCCAATACAAGATTTTGTAGGTAATTGCAGTTACTCTGTTACCTTTTCAGGGAAGAGTGAGTCAGGAAAGAGACTTTCTGAGAGCTTATCAGTCACCTGCTACTCACCAGGTCTGTGTATTTCCATCATACTTGCTTTACCTCGAAGTTAATGAGCCTTGCCTATAACTTCCTTGTGCACTCCTTCGATAGTAACCACTGCATCAATGCCCAGGACTCTTAGCACTCTTTTCAAAACCACTCTTTCTGTTGCATCAGCTATCTTCTTAAAACTACAGTAGTTTCTTATCATTGTTTTTATCCCTAGGGCTCAAATTCTCACTTATATTGTTCTAAGTTGTCTTCCTTGGCTTTCATAGTATGGGCAAGTACTGTATTTGTTGAACACCTACTGTTTCCCATGAGAGAGTCAATGTTGATAATAACCAAATAACAGTTACCATTTATTCAGTACCTAGTTTACTCTTGTCCACCTGTTGGAGACACTTGAGATAGTTTCTTTATTGTCCTCAACTACTGGGAAAGATAACATGACGATTTTTCAGAGGAGGAAATGCTTGTTAGCTCGCTCAATATCATGAAACTAGTAGGTGGCAGAAATGTGAATCCAGGGCTGTCTGTCTCTAGAGCCTGCAGTCTCTCCACACAGTCCCTGCCCTCCTTGTGGCTTCATGGTTCATTGGTATCTCGACGTCTCTTGGCCCTAAGAGCGGTGTATTGAAACAAGATACATGATTCTCTTTTCTCCTGCAGTGCTTCTTAAGTTGAGCACACAAATACACCTTGTGGATTCAGAGTAGCGCCCTCTCAGGAAACCAGGAATGAAGTCCTGGCAGTTAAAATGGAAGTGCTGATATCCACAAATAGGAGCTGGACTGCCAGACAGCCACTGTGCAGTCCCAACTGGGCAAATGTGATGTCCAGAACCCAGCTTTTCCTGGTAAGCTGATGGTCATTCCTACAGCTGCCACTCCTGCCATTCTATAATTATGCTTCAAAGAAGGAAAACAACCCATCTTATTCCCCAGCTTCTAAGGTTGTGTTGGAAATGATCTGAAGAGTTCAGATTGTTCTGAGCAATTTGAAGAGTATATTTAAGGAAGGAAAGCAAAACATAAGTGGTTTGACAAGACCTTTTAAATCTTTGTCATTTGGTAGCATTGTTTGCTTTGATTTAAGCTTTTTTCTCTGCTGGTATCTATTCCCAAGGTCTGAGTTTCTTGGAGGCTGTTTCTGTACATGATTAATGCCTGAGCCTCAGTTTGTGGTCATTAAAGATCAACAAAATTAGCAGATCAACCCTGAATTGACCCAGTTTGAGCCTCAAACTAAAGATACAGACTTCAGAAAAAAATATTAAAGATCACAAAGGTGGTTTTGAATCCCCAAAGTAAAATGGTTTCCCTTTTTTTGTTTTTATACCATAGTTATACCTGCACACATAATGCCCATTCACACACATATATACACTTACATACACATGCATGTTTACAATCTATGATATCTGCATTTAGGGGATTACTTGACCCCAGCTAGTTAATTTTATTAAATTATTGGGTTTTTAAAATTTATTTTGTCCTCATGATATGTGTGTATACATATTTTCTTTTCTGGAATTTATATTGGTTTATTTAACTTATGTGGACTAAGACCTTTAGCAAAAGTAACAATTAGAAAGTCATATATGATGATTCTATTATGCATCCCATTTTTTGTAGAAAAAGATCAGACTCTCTAACTTGTTTAGAGATTTTGACTCCTGAAAATATTGACCAAGCTTAATGCAATGGGTATTTCTGAAAATTTCTGAAAATGCATCCCAAAATAGGATATAAGAAGCTAAATAGAAGTCCACAAAACAGTCAGACATAATGGCTAATTTACAGAAGTACTTTCAGCTTCTGCAAATATTTATGAAATAGGAAAGGATGGATCTGACCTCCAGATGGTATATGAGAAGATAAACATTCAGAGAAATTTGATGCCATGCCCTAGGAGAAAGTCTGGAGAGAAAACTGGTAATTTTTAAGAACTCACTATTTTCCAAACCCTTTCCATATTGCCATATCATTTAATTTTACTGGCAACCCTAATTGGTAGGTAATTTTATGCTCGTTATACAGATGAGGGCTTTAAAGTCTTCACAAAAATTTTCCTAGGTCATGTAGCTACAAGTTGTAGAGTCTGGATTCGAACCCAGATCTGTCTGATGAGAAGCATCTGCTTGTGCTACCATACCATGCTATTGTCCAGGACCTCAGGATAAGCAGGTTTCAGAATCCACTCAATTTTAAATATTTCTCTCACATTGAAACACAACAGACAGAAAAAACGCCTAACTCTAAAGCTAAGTCATGCACACAAATTTATAAAGGGATTAAAGAAAAGAAATTAAGTTTAGTTGCTTTATGGAGAACAAATAAATAACAAATGAAGATTGCTCTGTTGATATTATTTGTTTTGGCAAGCTTAGTCCAGTAGTTTCCTTATATATCAATTTCAATTGCAACATCTTCCTCCGTCACCTAATTTCCTTGGTATCTGAAAAGTTCATACCCATCATTCAGAGTTGTCATTTCCTTTCCCAGAGGGATTTCATGGGCAAGGTTTAATCTTTTTTTTTTTTTTTATTTGGGGATCACTTTTCTTTAGTAATATCTTGTTTTTACAGACAATTTCAACATTCTGTGTTCTTCCCCAAAGGAGTATTCAAGACACATTTTTTTTTAAGTATAGCAAAATTTTCTGATTAAACATAAGAAATATGTGTTACATGGCCAATGGCTTTCAGGACAAAAGCTTGGCACAGCATGTTCCAAAACAGAGTAACCTGTCAGGAAAGAAATTATTAGGAATTAAAGTGTATCTGACTCCAGAAAGAGGTCATTTGAGTCTCTTCCCCCTACTGACTTCTCTCTGAACTTAGTTTTTGGCAAAAGAAAGCTCTATTAGGCCACAGCTGTGATGGTGCCTAGCATATCCAGGGTACTCAGAAAACATCTGATAGTAATCCATTCATTCTGATGCTACATATAGGTTTCAGAGCACAAAAGGATGGCATATGACTGAAATCAAGCCTTCTCAATCTCAACACGATTGCCACTTTGGGCTGGATAACTTTTCATTGTGGGGAGCTGCCTTGTTATGTTGCTGGAGGTTTAGCAGCATCTGGGGCCTCTACCCACTAGATGCCAATAGCCACCCAACCACCTTCATTTGTGGCAATAAAAAGTGTCTTCAGACATTCCCAAATGCCCCCTCTGAAGAGAAGTTGTGGAAATCTCCACTAATTGTGAACTTCCGGTGTAAAATGAGATCACTGAAACTGGGCAAAAGCCAATGAAAAAGGGGAGAGGACTGAGCATTGTGTGTATGGGGGACAAGAAAGCTAAAGAAAATGAGGTTGGAGGAACAGGATGCGGTGAGAATATGGAAACACTGTGTGCACAGAGCAAGGAGCTAAGAGCACTTATATTGTAGTCATGGTTGTGTCAGAGTTTGGAATATCAGTTGAATTGGATTTTGGAATAAAAATACTATTAGGGAAAAGATGAATACAAAGAAAGACAATAATCACAAAAGTTGATTTTTTTTTTTTTTTTTTGAGTTGAATTCTCACTCTGTTGCCCAGGCTGGAGTGCAGTGGCATGCTCACGGCCACTGCAGTCTTGACCTGCTGGGCTCAGGTGATCCTTCCACCTCAGCTTTCCAAGTAGCTGGAACTACAGGCATGCACTACCACGACTGACTTATTTTTTGATTTATTGTAAAGATGAGGTCTCATCGAGTTGCCCAGGCTGGTCTCAAATCCCCGAGCTTAGGCAATCCTCTTGCCGCTGCCTCCCAAAGCGCTGGGATTATGGACTTGAGCCACCATGCTCAGCCGTAAAAGTTGCTTTTTTAAGGACAGTACTATTTTTAGCAAAAATTTAACAAATTCAGATGTGGACTTTTTATCTGAGTAATGAGGCTTAGAAAGAATGGCACTTCATTCTAGTTTATTGGTGATCAGAGCTGCCAGAGCAAGCAGTGATATGGGAGTCAGTCGAAGCTAGAGAGAGAAGAGAGGTTCAGAGGCTCTCTAGCCCAGCCTTCTCCTTGATCTCAGAGAGAACTTGTATCCAAACTACAGTTCCAGGACAACTGTCACCTCTTCATGGGTCTCAAATACACACACACACACACACACACACACACACACACACACACACACACACACTCTCTCTCTCTCTTCTATATTATGCCTGAATCATGCTAAAACAGAGCCCATTCTTTGGAGAAAAATTTAGAGACAGTTAAATTCATTTATTTGGTACCAAGAACACAAGTTGTTTCCAACTCTGACTTAATATTAAGTCATCAAGGCTCTCCTAAAAACACCGATGCCTTGGCCCTATCCCAAAGAAACTGAGTCAATTAGTCTGCAGTAGGACCTGGCCACTGATGGCATTTTAGATCTCTACAACTGATATAGCCCCGGTAAGAATCACAGAGATAGCCCAGTCCTTAGGACTTTTACATCATAACTAGGAAAAGATCAACTAATGTTTAGTAACTAAAGAACGATGCAATTATCCAATTGTGTGTTAGGAGTTGTGAAAGAAAAAAATATTCAGTGATACTAGTTAAAAGACAGTAAGGAAGACTTTATTCAGGGCCATCATATTAAGTGTAGGGACCCCAGCAATGGGATGTTGAAGTGGAAGAGAGATTAGCCTCAACTCCAATTATAACATGGGCAAGTGGGAATTCATGACTGAGAAGCAGGGTAGGGGACCAGTGGATGGAAAATTACTTAGAGGAAAATCAGAATTAAGGGAGATTCTGGCTAAACTGACCTACCAAGATTTTTGCTGAAAACCAGCCAGAGTGACCAGACACCTGGGGGATGGTGGAGATTAATCAATCAGATGCTGAGAATGATCAGAAATCAAGGTTGGGATTTCTTGCAAAACTGACTTAGTAGAGTTCTTTACTAAAACTAGATTTTGCAAGGAAATGCATGGATGGGCTTAGGAGAAGGTTCAGGAGCCTGATCAGGAGTTTGACCAAGCAGAGAATCTTCCTCAGTGTCATCATTCTTGTAAGAGAAAGATCAATGGCAAAAACAGGAAAAGTCAGGTTAGTTTATTGTCAATTCTGTGTTGACTAAACCAGACAAGTTGTCTTGTTGGGGACAGAATAAGTATGTGGACCAGGTCTTTCATCTTGTTGAGCTCTTTGCATCTTATATCGCTCTTCTCACCAATCCTCAGAGCACATTAAATCTTCTGTTATAAATCTTGTTATTTATTTAGAAATAAATATAGAATTTCCTATAACTATAAGAACAGTATTCACTTAGAAATCTCCTAGAAGAGGTGAGATTATGGCAGACACCCAAAAAGAATGAGGTGAACAACAGAAAACAAGTTAGCCATCCCTCCTGAGCCCTGGACCTGGAAGACCTTTGCAGGGGTCGGGGGTGGAAGTGGAGGAGATCATTTTCCCATTAAGCTAGTGACAAGCTCTCTTAGTCCACTTTTGCTGCTATACTAGAATACTTATAGACTAAGTAATTTATAAAGAACAGAAATTTATTTCTCACGGTTCTGGAGCCTGGAAGTCCAAGAGCAAGGTACCAGCTTTTTCTGGTACAATCCTTCTTTGCTGTGTCCTCATATGGCAGAAGGCAAAAGTGCAACAGAGGACAAACATCTCCTCACATAGCACAAGAGTGAAGGAGAGCAAGCTAACTCCTAACGCCATTTTTATAGTGGCTTTTTATTCTCATGCCCTAATACCTCCCATTACACCCCACCTCCCAACACTGTTGCACTGGGGATTAAGTTTCTAACACAAATTTTGGCGAATACCCTCAGACCATAGCACAAGCAAATGCAATATGTTCCCCAAGAGGCTCTTCCCTAGGAAAACAGGAAGGTCCAGTGTCACTTTGTGGTAATACAGCTAAAAGCCTTATAACAAGTAATTAGATAAATTAGGTTTTCAATTAACTCAAATTAAGGCCTTTTTAAAGTGACAATTTATATATTCCCTTGGCCTGGCCTCCTTTGGTAAAGTCAGAGGTAGAACAAAGTAATTAGATTAATGCAGTAGGCACTTACTTGATGTCACATCATCCTGTTCCAATATTAGCTCTTTATCTACAACTGTTAAACATCAAAGAATAAATAAGTAATCTCAATTACTTATTCACTGAAGAATATGACAGTATTGAGGAATAGCTTTCTTCTGATTTTTTAACTTGAGATTAAAAGCATAAGAATCAAATGAATTCTGCCCAAATAAATTCAATGTTTAGTAAACAAAAATAACAAAGTAAAAAGTTTTGTCTTCTTCAAAATTATCAAAATTAAATTCTATTTCAAAGTCAGGGGACTTTCTTAAAGTCAGGAATAAAGAAATTCCTGCAACATACTATTTCTCCTCAAAAAATAGAAATGTTGCGCTTTATCACTACATGAAGGGATGAAGACACAAGCTATACATAGGAGCAATGGTGGACCCAAACCACACTCAGTGAAGACACTTGTTTTGTCTTCAGTGTTAGGGAAGATTTGCACAATGATGAAAAAGGGAGAGAAGAACGGGCTCCCAGGAGGGCTTCCTGCCATTTTTTTTTTAACTTAAAAAAAATTTTTTTAAAGATGTGGGGTACAATTCAGGGTTAGGTATAAAAATTCCTACCATTTACAAAAGTCACTTCTGTGTAATCAGTGAGCTCACATCCTAGAATCTTGGCTCATTCATGATAATGGGGTCGAGAAAGGGCACATATAACTAGTTTTTCCAGAGAATCAAGAATATTAATTTAGCCAACAGTTTCAGCTGCTCAACTTGTTAAGAACAGCTGAGAAGTAAAAACACTATCTTATTTAAGTTTCTTCTTTTTCTACTCCTTTATCATCAAAGAGACCAGTGAAAATATTAATAAGTAGACTGCAGAAGATAGGGGGAAAGAAAGGCAATGTCCCTAACTGATCTACTGCCAGATAATTTTAAAATTGATGCTTAAGTACCTGCTTCACATTTTATTAAGAGCCAGGAGACCTAGCATCTAATTGGACTCTTTCACTCAATAGAAGCGGTAAATAAAACAATAAATCATTGAGTTCTTTTTTATTATTATTATTTGAGTTGGAGTCTTACTCTGTCGTCTAGGCTGGAGTGCAGTGGCACACTCACAGCCACCCCAATGTTGACCCTGCTGATCTCCGGTGATCCTTCCACCTCAGCCTTCCAAGCCAGAACTACAGGCATGCGCAACCACACCTGGCTAATTTTTTTGATTTATTGTAGAGACAAGGTCTCGCCAAGTTACCCTGTCTGGTCTCGAACCTGTAGCCTCAGGCAATCCACTCGCCTTGGCCTCCCAAAGTATTGGGATTACAGGCTGAGCCACAGATCCCAGCCTGAGTTCTCTTTATATGTCAGGCTTTGGACTATACATTCTTATTTCACTTAATACATAACATTCATATAAAGTCAATAATCTTTTACACCCATTGAACAGATAACGAAGCAAGACTTAAACTTGCTTGAAGTTGTACGGGAAAAAGCTAGACCGCAGCGTTCTTATGAAAAGAGAGGGCATTTTAAAACATGCATATTGAGAAACTACTCTGGAGTTAGGATCAAACAAGTCAACCTGGCCCTGGCAGCAGGATGCTCCCTGGTGGGCTGACTCATCTCCATGGACCTCTCAGCTCTGTGATGGGTGAATGGGTGAATTGAATGCATATGTGCTTTGGTGATCTTCTTTCACCTGTCCATGTCTGTCTGCAGGTGGTGGGCAGGGGAATGGGAAGCATGTTCTGCAACGTGTGGGCCTCATGGAGAGAAGAAGCGAACAGTGTTGTGCATCCAGACCATGAGCTCTGACGAGCAGGCTCTCTTGCCAACAGACTGCCAGCACCTGCTGAAGCCCAAGACCCTCATTTCCTGTAACAGAGACATCCTGTGTCCATCAGACTGGACAGTGGGCAACTGGAGTGAGGTAAGTTCAGGAGCTGGAAGGGAAAATGCCATTATTCATGCTTCATCAACCTCTCACCTGTTCCTTCTCATAATTTTTTCTTTTTTGAGACAGGAGTCTCACTCTATTGCCCAGGGTAGAGTGCAGTGTCACAATCATGGCTCCCTGCAGCCTCCACCTCCTGGGTCAGTGATCCTCCTCCCTCAGCCTTTTTAGTAGCTGGGATGACAGGTGGATGCCACCAAGCATTATTATTATTATTATTATTATTAGACCGGGTTTCATTTTTTTTTTTTTTTTTTTTGCCTAGGTTGAATTCCTGGACTCAAGCAATCCTCCCACCTCAGCCTCCCTAAGTGCTGGGTTTACGGGCATGATCCACGGCACCTGGCCCATTCCTCCTCAGTATCCATTTCTAAGTGACCCTAGGTAAAATAGCAAAAATGGCCAACATCCATCACCTCTAGGCTGTTTCCTGCATTTCCCACTGCCCAATGGGAATTTCCATCATACAGGATCTTGTTCTCATGCTCCCAGATAGTCAACTAACTATCTGAGAGGAATGAGGTAAACCCTTCTAGGATAGGCCCGTGACAACTAATTGGTAAATCATCAAAATTCTTGTCTTGGGGCCAGACTCAGTGGCTCAGCCTGTAATCCCAGCACTTTAGGGGGTCGAGGCAAGTGGATTGGCGAGACCTTGTCTCTACAATAAATCAAAAATTAGCTGGGTGTGGTGGCATGTGCTTATAGTTCTGGCTACTTGGAAGGCTGAGGTGGAAGGATCGCCAGAACCCAGCAGGTTGACGCTGGGGTGGCCATGCATATGCCATGACACTCCAGCTTGGGCAACAGAGAGAGACTCCAACTCAAAAAAAAAAAAAGAAATTCTTGTGCTCATTGTTAAACCAATGGTAGCAAATCACGGCTCCCACATCCATCCCAAAAGTTGTTTGTTAAATATTGATAAGCACCTCATTGTAATTAACCAAAACCAAAGGAGTGTCACTCTAGTGGTAGAATGATAGTGGAACATTTGACACTTGGAGAAGTTCCCTCAAATCATTTATTCAGTGTGTGTCAAGGCCAGACCTGACCAATCATAGCATGTGGCTGACCTGGCCTAGATTTCTATAAATAACAGTGTTATCAAAATAAGGCCGAATGAAGTTTAGGTTTAGGATATCTGCTACTAATAGCCACATAAATTCAGATAAGTGTTGCATTATCCCAAAATTAATTTGATCTAATGCTCTGAATATAATTAGAAATCAGTGATTTAGAAGGTTATGAAAAGCTCCCAGACTCTCATTTTCTTTGGGTCACTATGGAAACTGGTTCCGTCAGGCCTTGTCATGTTCCAGTTAATCAGTGGACGTGAAACCCTTCTTTCCCCAGGAGGCCGGAGTCTCCAAGGGCCTCAGCTCTGCCTCCCTATGTGAATTTCAGTCAGTGACCTAAGGAATGACTAAAAATAAATGTTTTGAAAAATTGTGTCCAGGCACGTTGTTCAGCCCTGTAATTCCGGCACTTTAGGAGGCAAAGGCAGGAGGATTACTTCAGGCCAGGAGTTTGAGACCAGCCTAGGCAACATAGCAAGACCTTATTGCTACAAAATGTCAACAAGTTAGCCAGGCATGGTGGTGTGTGCCTATAGTCGCAGCTACTCAGGAAGCTAACTCAGGAGGATCGCCTGAACCCAGGAGATCAAGGCTGCAGTGAGCCAAGATTGTGCCATGTACTCCAGCCTGGGTGACAGAGTGAAACCCCAACTCAAAAATAAATAAATAAAATGAAAAATGAACAGGCCAGAATTTTGAGATGAATGCTGACTTCATCTCATGAGCTTCTCCGAGAAGCCACACGCTTTCCATAATAATGCTACAATTGCCCAGAATATTTTAGGAACTGCTCTGAGAATTCACCTTCAGAGAAAATGGAAATTATTTGATTCAGGAGAATGTCACAGAAGTCAATTAGAATAAAGTCCAGTGGATAAGTGAGTAATATGACTAGAACTTTTGTGTTTAAAAAGTAAGATTTGATTATCAATAAGTGAGATGGAGTCTCATAAATAACTCATAAAGTTGCTCTGAAAGTATTTTCTAAAGAATTCTAAAATTTGACTAAGCAGAGGTATCATCTCTGAAAGCAGAACACTTATTTAAATGAGCAGTTTTGATAATCTTATTTCCAAGACTATTTTATTAGCTCACAGTCACAATTTAGGTTGATTTAGCTTCTCATTTTGTGCAGGATGCTCTCTCTTGGGCATCTAGGTGAAAATAAGAAAGAAATGGAAAGTATGGGAGAGGCAGGACCCAAAAAAGGAAAAGAAAGGAAAGACTAAGGTAAGCATTAAAAAAAATATACCTACAAAATACTATTAGTGTATCATTGATTTGTGCACCAGTGCATGTGCCCACATATCACTGATAAGCCAAACATTCTTTTTTTTTTGAGTTGGAGTCTCACTCTGTCACCCAGACTGGAGTGCAGTGGCCATTCCCGGCCACCACAGCCTCGTCTGCTGGGCTCTGGCAATCCTTCTGCCTCAGCCTTCCGAGTAGCCGGAATTACTGGCATGCACTACCACGCCTGGCTGATTTTTTGATTTATTGTAGAGATGAGGTCTTGCTGCCCAGGTGGGTCTCAAACCAGTGGGCTCAGGCAATCCACTCACCTCAGCCTCCCAAAGGTGCGGGATTACAGGCTGAGCCACCGAGCCCGGCAAGCCAAACATTCTTTCTGCTATTTCTAGGGGTGTATAATCATAGCATGTGGCTGTCCTGGTCTATTAGTCCACTGCAACCTAGATTTCTGTAAATTACACTGTTGTCAAAATATGGCTGAATGAGGTATTGTGACTGGTCTACTAAATCTGTTTACCAAAAAAAATCTGTTTACCAAAAATGTATTGACCACATCCAAAACTGTTAATAATTCTTGTCATGTAGAATTTACTAATTGTCAGAATCTTCATGCTTTCTCAGAGGACTGACAATTACAAATTTGACTGAGGAGTTGTATTTATTGTGCTCATGTTTATGAGGAGCATAACAGCCTGTCTAAACTGAAGAACAAGGGACCAAGAAGTTGGCACGATGTGACAAGTACTCGTGTCTGTGGTTCCAGATACAGGCTGTTGCGTAGTTTGATGGACAACATGCACAGAATCTGGTTTCTAGCTTCTACTTGACAGCTGAGGAGAAAGGCAGAGCTGATGCCTTCATTCGGGAGGTGTTATTAGGAGAAGTGCTTTTCGTTAAATCGGCATCCAAATATTCATCAGAATGGGGCTTCCTTTCTTCCTTCTGCTGTCTTGCCAATAACCTTCTAATAAGCTTTGCAGGAATATGATGAAATGTCTTTGACATTCTAACTATTCTCGGATACTTTTTGTTTAAGAGAGATGATATAGTGATTCTATAGTGATAAGTATTCTCAGATACTGATCATTGGGATTGTTGTCTTGAGACCAACAGTATTTGAAGCAGTATAGCACTCCAGCAATCATTTGGTTCGCATTGGGTTGTTTGGGTAGGTCACTCAGGATGAATCTGAAAAAGGTAGCTGGGTCAAAAGACCTAAGAACTGAAAACCTTCCAGACTCCTGTAAAATGGTCTTCCCTGGTCCGACCAAGTTCAGAAAAAGGATAAATTCATGAGCAGCCCATCCCTAGCAAAGCACCTCCACTAACACAAGCAGTGAAGGGAGAGTGGGCTCAACCCTGTCAGGCTGGTATACTTATTCCTGAGCCAGCAGGGATCAGAAGGAGGAATTATCTCCCCTGCTACCCCCAGGGAGGGCTTTCTTACCCTTTGTAACAAGCTCATGCTCTAGACACCTGATTCCAACCCCCAATCTCAAGTTTGACCAAGAATCTTATCCTAAACTTTGCCCAACCTACTTTCTGAACTGAGAGCAGGGACTCCCAACCCTTGGCCACAGACCAGTCCATGGTCTGTTAGGAACTGGATTGCACAGCAGAAGGTGAGCAGTGGGTGAGCAAGCGAAGTTTTATCTGTATTTACAGACACTCTCCATTGCTCACATTACTGCCTGAGCTCCACCTCTTGTCAGAGCAGCAGCAGCATTAGATTCTTGTAGGAGTGCAAACTCTATTGTGAACTGCACACATGAGGGATCTAGGTTGTGTGCTCCTTATGAGAATCTAATGCCTGATGATCTGAGGTGGAGCTATGGTGATGCTAGTGTTGGGGAGCAGCTGCAAATACAGATTAACATTAGCAGTGAGGTTTGACTGCACAGAGACCATAATAAATCAATTGCTTGCAGACTCATATCAATACCCTCTCAGTGAGTGGCAAGTGAGTTGATGTACTTCAGTTGTACAACTGCATCTGGCGGAAGGATTTAAGTCAGAATCCAACACTTATTTCAGTTCGTGCATGGCCCTCCCATTATTTATTTACCACTTCCATCTGCACCTCTTTGTTTTTTTCTTTTGAGTTGGAGTCTCACTCTGTTGCCCAGGCTGGAGTGCAGTGGCACACTCACAGTCACCCCAGTGTCGATCTACTGGGCTCCAGCTATCCTTCCACCTCAGCCTTCCAAGTAGCTGGAACTACAGGCATGCGCTACCATGCCCAGCTAATTTTTCATTTATAGTAGAGATGAGGTCTTGCCAAGTTGCATGGGCTGATCACAAACCTATGGGCTCAGGCAATCCACTCACCTCAGCCTCACAAAGTGCTGGGATTATAGGCTGAGCCACTGAGTCCAGCCAGCACCTCTTTTTTTTAAAATGGTGAGTTGTATAGTTATTTCATTATATATTACAATAATAATAGAAATAAAGTGCACAATAAATGTCATGTGCTTAAATCATCCCAAAACCATCCTTTCCTCCCAGTCTTGAATATTGCCTTCCACAAAACTGGTTACTAACACCAAAAAGTTTAAGGATCACTGGCTTAGAAGGCAAAGAAGGGAATGCTATTTGTTGTAAATAAAGAACAGGTATCAAAGTTGTCATGGTTCCTATATTTTTCAGGTT